TTGTTTGAAACATTTTGTTGTATAGCGCTTACTTTAGGAGATATTCGACTGGATGGATTAAAATAGTCCACCCTGTATATATATATATATATATATATATATATATATGTATATTTATTTATTATAATATATGTGTATATATACATATATATGTATATTATATATAAATAAATATTATTTTATATATTGTACAAACTTGGAATGTGTCTTTCGCATTTTTATTTATTTATTATACTTACAATTAAATGAATTGCTTCATTTTGATTAATGTTGACTTTCAAACGTGCCGCTATATAGAATGTTTCTCTCGTCGTGAGGAACGGCAATAGACGAAATTGTTGCGGTACGTAGCACGCCTGTTTACGCAACATCCCTGTATTCTGTTCAACGCTATTTACAATAATGGTACCTTTAACGCCGTTCAGTTGTTTGCCAAATATGATTTTCAGCAGGGTGCTCTTTCCCGCGCCGGAAGGACCAATTATCACCGTGACTTTTCCCGGTTCGAAATGCCCCGTTACATTACGTAGGATTGTTTTCTCAGTTTCTACAGTAAACATTAATTCTTTAACTATGTCTATGCGACGTGCGAAAAACGCAATATTGATCATTCGTGTCGCGTTTACACATATTTAAGACTTATAAATTAATACAGGGGTTTGACGAAAAAATGTGAAGCGTTATAGTCCTTGTGATTTAAATTGATTTATTTTAAACGTAACATATATGTACGTATACTTTATAGTTTTATATTAATTTATCCCATATATTCTTACAATATGTACATTATACACAGTGCGGTCTATAAGTTCCTGGACTGATTTTTTTGCAGCTTTTCCATTGACGCCATTTATCGGACGACTGTTGAACTACGTAGTGTGAACCCTTTCAAACAGCCGTGTTAAGCGGTATAATTTTAGCCGCAGTTGTTGAAGACTGCGGACGTCTGATATAACCTGGTATGTGTATGTGTGTCAGACTCGGAAGGTGGACGGGAAGGAGGAACAGCAGGTATTCTCTAAATTTTCTGGAGTGAATTTTCACTCTTTTGGAGGAAATCTCGCTCTAAAAGAGTAAAAATACTGCCACTCAAATGATCGAGTGGCAGTATTTTCAATCTTTTAGAGTGAGATTTACTCCAAAAAATTTAGAAAGTAGCAATTAAATTTTGTACGTCTTCTGAATCAGTTCAAATGTCTTTGCCGCTGAAAAATCAGCTTTGCAGCAAAATTTAATTGCTACCCGCTGTTCCTTTTCCTCGTCCATCTCCCGAGTCTGCACGC